GGGATGCATGCTAATATTTCTCTGTCCCAGGGCCTTCTCCCATAAGCCCTGTCCATGGACTTGGGCTTGATAATGTAGGCTATTGGAAAGTTCAATATGCTGAGTCTTTTACTCCCTTATATAGCGTGGCCATCTAGGCAGGCTCCTCGTGGGCACAGTGTTCTATTATTGTGTGTTGGTCACTTGTGGGCTCCACAGAGTCCAGGGGCATGCCTCATGGTGCAATGCTTCTTACCATTCCAAGTTCCTCAAAATCTCCTTCAAAGCACCAACATATTACATCCTATCTCTAAATTTTATTTGTCCCAAATACTCTTATAAAGTATTAACATCCATCTTTTAGATCTATTGGTCCCAAGTTTTATCTGATAGAGAAATAATTGCTGTCATTTGAAAGAAAATGGCCCTTGAAGGAAGTGGCACTAATAGCAGGTGTGGCTTTGTTGTAGTAGGTATGTCCTTGTTGAAAGAGTGTCACTGTGGAGGCAGAATTTGAGGTCTCATATATGCTCAAGCTTCACTCAGTGTGATATATAGAAAACTTCCTGTTGTCTACAAGGTGTAGGACTCTCAGCTTCTTCTCCAATATTATGTCTGCCTGCACACAGCCATATCTCACCATGATGATAATGAACTGAACCTCTGAATTGTAAGCCACCCCAATTAAATGCTTTTCCTTTGTAAGAGTTGCCATGTCACGGTGTCTCTTCACAACAATAGAAACATAACTAAGATAATTAATGGCAGTCCCTTTCTTTACCTTTGTTCTTCATATGCTCGCTCCTCTTGGTATCTTCCCCTTGTCGACTGGATGCAAGGTTCACTGTGAGTTCCCCATAGCCCTGGAGTCTATGTCGTGTTGTTTGAAACCATTGGAAAGATCAAAGACTTGGACTCAATTCAAATTCACATTAAATGAATTTCATTTTTCTCCTAGCGAAAGGATGGCATCCTTAGAGCCAAACAGCAAGCCCTGCCAAAGGGGGCTAAAGGCAGGTTTATAAGGGGGACATCAAAGGGGCACTATAGTGATCTATGGGATCCACAGCTGGGTAAAGCAATCGTTTCTCTCCCCTCAGTGATTCCCTTTCCCACTGTACAGTAACAAAAAGACCATTGCAGTCCAGTCCCACAACAGTGAGCCCATTTATATAAAGGCAGAAAGCAGGTGGTTAAATATCTCCAAGCAGGAGCAGCAGTATCCTATTCTTATCTCACCTATAGATCACTAGTGTCCTGTTGCAAGAGAGAGGGCCCACTGGTTCGTCTCATCTGCCCGGCTAGCTTACACTGAAATAACCACACAGAAACTTTATTTATTAAAACACTGCTTGCCCATTAGCTCTAGTTTCATATTGGCTAATTCTTACATCTAAATCTAACCCATTTCTATTAATCTATGTATCACCATGTGGCTGTGGCTTACCGGTGAGATTCTAATCAGCGTCCATCTCAGGCGGAGGATCCATGGCTTCTCTGACTCTAGCCTTCTTCCTCCCAGCATTCAGTTCTGTTTTCCCCACCTACCTAAGTTCTGCCCTATCAAAAGGCCAAGGCAGTTTCTTTATTCATTAACCAATGAAAGCAACACATAAACAGAAGGACCTCCTACACCAGGGTCCCACAAGCATTCCAGGGTGAAGCTCAACAGCCCTTAAGGGGTGTCTGGAACCATGTTAGATTTCTTTAGGCACCACAGAGGAGTCCTAAAACTGGCCAGGACCAAACCAGAGAGAGTTCTCTAGGTAAGGTCTCAGCTACTGTTAGTCCAAGGATTATAAGGGCAAACCCCACAAAGTTATAATCTTAAGGAGTCAAATTAATTCATATCTTGTCTGGGTACAGACAGGGATTTATTTTGTAACCAACAACTAGCGGATGCCTCAACCATCCAAGCAAGCAAGCATTTCAGACAAAACCAGAACTTAGAAGTTAGCCTGTTTAATCTTGTGACCCATTACCTTGCAAGAATAGCGGAGGCAGTGAGATATTTTATAACAATTAGCAGTTTTTGAGAACAGTACAACTGTACTAGGAAGTCAGCCATCTTGGGCAAGTACAGTCAAGATAGGGGAAACTTCCTCATGGCTAACAAGCTAAGAACAATTTTGCTTTTAGAAGCTTTTCTAGCACGACCAGTTACCCTCTAAACATGATGCTCATCATCACAACAGACTTACAACGACTCTGGGATGAGGTGGAGTTCTCCAATGCTACCACTAACCCAGAAACTAGGACCAGAGTATTTGATAGGTACAACAGAAGGGGAGGGCTTAGCTAGTCTCTGTAGGAGGCCTCTGAAGGGAGCAGTCTCAGACTATGAAGCTGTAGCAGCTGCCCATTTTCAGTCTGAGGTAGAGGTAAGAGCTGGTGACTGGCTACTTTGCTTTTCTGATCTTCAGGTTGAACCCCAATATCTGTCAGTGGGTTTTTATTATTTGTACTACAGAGGTCAGAGGTCAGTTTGCAGAATTCAGTCAGGCTTGACAGTCCATGCCTGACACACTGACCTACCTCACCAATTTGTTAGAGTCTAACCTGCCTTATCCTTCCTCCCTCCCTCCCTCCCTCCCTCCCTCCCTCCCTCCCTCCCTCCTTCTCTTTCTGTAGTTTTTTAAGACAGGGTTTCTCTGTGTGGCCCTGGCTGTCATGGGACTTGCTTTGTAGACCAGGCTGGCTTGAACTCAGAGATTCATCTGTCTCTGTCTCGTGCCAGCATGCCCAGCAAGATTTATTTACCATTTAGCGAGTAGGTATTGAACTGTATCGTACAGCAGGCACTGCCAGACCATATTACTCAATTTTCCTACAGAACTGAAGTGCTGTAAATGGGATGCCATGCCAGGTAGGAGATGCACCTCTTCTGTTGGAACGTAGCCCAAGAACGGAGACATGTGAGGGGAATTCTGGGGGCTCGTGAGAAAACTCCACAGAAGCCCCCATGAGTCTTGTGATCTCAGTTTCCTCAAAAACACCGACTTGTTCTTGAAATGTGCTTTTGTGCCCCTCCCAGGTAAAACAGACAGGAGTGAGTTGACTTCAGACTGCTCATTACAAGCAGCTATTGCCATTTCTTTATATGCCTCTTCGGAAAAAGCGTCTCTGTGCCACTGTGGCTTGCCCCTGTCACACTTTCCTCGCGTGACTCCTCTTAACCCCAGAGTATAAACTGTCCAGTGCTCTGAATAAGGTTGGTCATTGCGTGAGACTTTAGCCTGTCCCATTTTGAGGCTCCATTCTAGTGGTAAACACTTTTCAACCTCTGAAGTTTCTTAAAAATTGTTGCCCTCCCTGGGCAAAGACCTAACACTATTGCTCTGCTAAAGGAAAATAGCAACAAAAGGTTCCCAATGCCATACAGCAGCAGGGCCTCACTTGGCCTTCGTCAGTAGATGGGAATTAACACAGGACCCCAGAAGGGAACAATGTGCAGAGTGAGAGACTTCGGAGCACTCAGTCCTAAAAGGAACATCTCCAGCAAAACCCTCCCATCAGGGCTCAGAGTCTTTAGAGAAGAGGAGGCAGAAAGATTGCAAGAGACAGTCAGCCTGTGGGGTGCACACCTTTAATCCCAGCACTCGAGAGGCAACTGGATCTCTGTGAGTCTGAGGGTAGCTGGGTCTACACAGAGAAACCCTGTCTCAAAAAAAATTTTTTTAAAGAAAAACATTGTAAATGCCAAATGTGTTAGATGACGCCAAGGAAACAGTGTTCTCCAGATGGGGCAGGACTGCTACATGTTATGCCCGCATCAGGAGCCCCCGAAAGACCACCAGGAGTCCGAGTTTGTATGCAAAGCAAAGAGCCTTTATTGCAAGCTCCAGCTGGGGCTCTCCATCCCTTCCAACACAGCTGTTGGATCAGGGAGGGCACTGAGCTCGGCTATGGCAGGTGGGGGGCAGTTAAGGAGTAAAAGATGGGGGGTGGGTAGAGGAATTCTCAATTCAAGAGGGGTTGAATTCCTGATTGGGTAGGAGTGAGGCAGCAGAAATCTTTTCAATCAGGGACTGGCTTTGTTGCAAGGAAACTGGCAACCTACCTAAAAGTTAGATAAGCTATTCTTAATGTTCTTGTCTCATTTCTGACTGATACCCCATAAGGTACAGTCCTGTGGATTTTCTGGCCATTGTAAGAGTGAGGTTTCGTTTCAGTATTATTATTCCACAGCCTGCCACGGCTGCACTGGTGTTAAGTTAGGCCTCCTCGCTACATAGATCATATGTTCATACAATATGAAATGTGTATGAACTCACAGAGATTGGGGCAGCATGAACAAGACCTGCACAGGTTCAAGCTAGATGGGATCGTAGCCATGAGAGGGGAAAGCAGACATGGAGTCCCACTCCTAGCCAAGAAGCTATTTAGAATTGACACGCACTGACAAGCAGAAATCAGTTTTCTCAAACGGAGTGTCATTGTGTAAATCGACTACACTCCAGGGCAGGTCCCATGCATAGTTGGCTAACACAAATGAACCCCATGGTTTTTTGTTTGTTTCTTGTGAGTGAGTGTGTGTGTGTGTGTGTGTGTGTGTATTTTGTTTAGTTTTGGCATATTTTCTCTTACTCTTCATTTGTGTGCTTGTTTTGACTTTTTAGTTTTTACAATTTTTGATTTGTTTTGAGAGAGAGTGAGAGACAGAGAGAGACAGAGAGAGAACAGAATTGGGTAGAAAGACTCTGGAAGGAGTTGCAGGAAGAGAAAACATGACCAATATATTATATATAAAAATTAAAAGAAAATTAATTGCTACTCTCTAAGGTAGAGAGGGATAGCTCAGTGGCTAGCTTACCATGAGTAAGCCCTGGGCTCAATCTTCAGTGCCATAATAAGGTAGGAGCCTCTGTGACCTCAAACCAATGAGGACACAGTCCATAAAACCTTTGGGGGTGGAGAAATTCAAGACTTTATTCAAAGGAGACAAAAAACACATGCACATCCTGAAGGGGCAGCCATTCTCAGGAGGGATCAACATCAGAAAACTCACTACTCATAGAAAATCACAGTTTTGCTGGGATTGTCCTCTCTTCAGAACCCAAATGTTTATAGAAGAAACTCTGGAGTTTCTGCCATGCATCCACCTGGGCCATGGAATGAGCCCTGGGCTCTCCCCCAAAGAGGACAGGCATGTTAAAAGTGACATGTAAGGAAGCCTTAAACCAAGGGAAGTAGGGGGGCTCAATGTAGTGCCCTGCTTCTGGGTAGCAGATGATCTGGGGCTTCTCCTTCCCATGGGCCTGCAAGCGTTTGGAGATCTCATTGGCATAGAACTCGCTCTTCCAGTTGCAGTCATCCTGACCCACAAGGAACAGGAAGGTGGAGTCAGACCTTTCCACAGGGATGATGCTCTTCTGATCAGGGCCATTTAAAGGGCAATTCAGGGCTTCCAAAAATATCTCTAAGGCCATCTTTAGTCACTCTAATCCGATTCATGTTAATGCTCAAAGGGGGCAGGGTCTCATCCTTGTAGTGCAATGTTCCAACAACGTTGGCCATAGAGCCATTGATTATGACAGCCGCTGTAATGCCTTTCAGGAAAGAGGCCATGGAGAGGCAGAGGAAATCCCAAGCAGGATTTCCTTTGGAATTTCTCCTTTGGAAATTCCTGGTCCCTTGACCTAAGAAAGAGACAGAGAAACGAAAAGGAACGAGTGCATCTAGAGGGTAGGGCAGTTAGTGGTGCCAACCTAGGGATGGAGGGTGGCCCTGAGCCTGACTCTCACTCTGCACCATCCAGGTTTTGAAAGGTGATTAGGTCTCTTCAAATCCTTAGATGAGGCTCAGTGCTAAGTCCCACAGTGTAACTAGTCTTTCTCTGTCCCACCTGCCAGATCCCAAATAACCACACAGAGATTTCTCATTCATTATAAATGCTTAGCCTCAGCTCAGACTTGTTCCTAACTAGTTCTTATATCTTACATGAAGCCATATCTTTTAATCTACATTCTTTTACATGGCTTGGTGCTGCCCATGCCTTCCTCTTGTCTGACAAGCAGAAATCAGTTTTCTCAAACGGAGTGGCATTGTGTAAATCCCAGAAGTCACACCTAACTTCTTCCTGTCTAGCTATTGGCCATCCCGCTTTTTATTAAGCCAGTTGCATTAACGCATCTTCACACAGTGTAAAGGTGTATTTTGCAACACCATGGTCTACATGGAGCTTGAAATAAAAAATAATAGGTACATTCCTGAGCATGAGTTTGTCAATGGAAGAATGTGGACATGTAAGGAAAATGTTTTCTTTTCATCTGTGATGTATTTACAGTGCTGGGCACTACAGTCACATGGGTTTATGATCATCCAGCAAGAATCACAGAAAACTGAGGTAAGATTCTGGTTATGAGTAAGAGTTCAGGATGCATGTATAGGTACTGGAGAAGAGGGAGATGCTTCAAACAAAAAATTTCTTATTCAAATTAAGAATTGTTTTCTAAAAGAGGGTGTTTAGGGGGAAAACAGTTTATTCAAAACCACTGACATGCCAGGCGGTGGTGGCACATGCCTTTAATCCCAGCACTCGGGAGGCAGAGGCAGACGGATCTCCGGGAGTTCGAGGCTAGCCTGGTCTACAAGAGCTAGTTCCAGAACCGGCACCAAAGCTACAGAGAAACCCTGTCTCGAAAATCCCCCCCCAAAAAAAAAACAAAAAAAAAACCAAAACAAACAAACAAACAAAAAAACAAAACAACACTGACAGGCTTCGGAGAGTGGGGACAGGGTTACTGAAGTTACACAATTTCATGATTGTAGAGCCAGGCCATGGGTCTATGTGAGGAGGCTTTCATTGTAATGTTTACAACACCATAAGCTCCCAGACAGCTGCTCTTCTGCCTCTAACAGGCAGGCAGGCTTTGCCCCATGCACAGGAAGGCTCTTCCTGCCAACACTCACTTCTGCTGTTCTTCAGGCATGGCCTCTTATATCCTTGTTCACACTGAATGATTTTCTTTCTTCCACAGCCATCCCTGCCTTGGCCTTGGTCGTCCTCACTTTTAGCCTCCTATAACTCCTGTATTGTTTCCCAAGTGAATGACATTTATCAGTTCATGGTAGGTCCTGTTGCAGGGACTTATGACAGCTTGAATTTTGCAGGAAAATGGATGGAGCTAGAAAACATTATTCTGAGTGAGGTAACCCAGACACAGAAAGACAATTATCACAGGTACTCACTCATAGGTGGTTTTTAAACGTAAAGCAAAGAAAACCAGCCTACAATCCACAATCCCAGAGAATTTAGACAACAATGAGGACACTGAGAGACACTTACATAGATCTAATCTACATGGGAAGTAGAAAAAACAAGATCTCCTGCATAAAGTGGGAGCATGGGTTCCTTGGAGGAAGGTTGACTGTGAGAGGGGAGAGGCAGGGATGGGAGCAGAGAAAAATGTAGAGCTCAATAAAAATCAATTTAAAAAAAAGACCTGATTAACAGTGCATCCAATCAGCAGAAAGCAGTATAGACAAAACTATGCCCATATTCCCAAATATTGTTTTCAAATGTTTGTTTACAATTTAAGGGGGATATGATATAGATATGAATAATTTGCTTTGGTATGGATCTTGGTTTATTGATACAAATTTAAGGTAAATTTTGTTATACTGTAAATGTATATTTCTGCCCTTGATTAAGGTATATATTTTTTTTTTTTTTTTTTTTTTTTTTTTTTTGGTTTTTCGAGACAGGGTTTCTCTGTGGTTTTGGAGCCTCTCCTGGAACTAGCTCTTGTAGACCAGGCTGGTCTCGAACTCACAGAGATCCGCCTGCAGGTATATTTTTTGTGTAGTTCATTTTAAAATGTAATGTATGTTTAAGAAATATAGGTTAATTAATAGTCATCTATAATAGTCAAGACTGTAATCATGTTAGTTAGGTTTTCTTGATATATAGAGATATAATTTAGTATGTTGGGTATTATTTAAATCTTTTAGAGACCTTCAGTATATGGCATTTAATTATTTTAAAAAAATTTAGGACTTTTCATGACAGTAAGACACATCTGCTCCTGGCAGCACAAATCTAATTCAAGAGGGAGATAGCCATTAAAGAGACTCCTTATGGAGTTTGTTAGATGAACTGGATATGCAGGATCTACAGAGAAATGACTGCTGAACTTGCCTAAAGACGAGATGATCCTTTAGGGTTCCTGTGTCATAAAAGAATCTGCGAGACATTCTTCAGGATACAGAAGAAAGTAACTGGCAAACTGCCAATAAAGGCAGACATGTCTTTGAAAATTCCTGCTTCATGGAAGAGTCTGCTGGATAATTTGGGACAGTACGCTGAAGATGGATGTCCCAATGGTACAGAGGAACTTTAGGTGACTGTCCAGGCAGTGAGATGTCTCTGTCAATTCTAGAGTTTTGGAAGTTGCTTACAATGCACTTCCTGTTTACTTAGGTAATATCATATCCTCTGGAGTGTTTGATAGAGTTGAAGAATTTATAGTTATAGTTTTCTTTAGTTAATATAAAAGATAAAGAATATATAAATATTGTAACTAAAATTCTTTCTTGATATTTGTTATATGTAATTTTACTATGTTAAAACCTTCCTTTTTATTTAAACAGAATAGAGTAGGTGATTTGTGAGTCCCCCATCTGTGCTGTGATTACCATTAATGAATAAAGAAAACTGCCTTGGCCTGTTGATAGGACAGAACTTAGGTAGACAGTGAGAACTGGACTGAATGCTGGGAGAAAGAAAGGCAGATCAGAGGAGATGCCATGGTGTCGGTGGAGATAGACATACTGAAACTTTCCTGATAGGCCACCTCTTGGTGGTGATGCACAGATGAATGGAAAAGAGTTAAATTAATATGTAAGAGTTAGCAAATAAAAAGCTAGAGCTAATGGACCAAGCAGTGATTTAATTAATACAGTTTCTGTGTGGTTATTTTGGGGCTAAAAGGCTGGGAAAAATGAGCAGCCTTCCTGTTACACTGAATATTAGGTTAAACAGAGAGGTTTTTAAAGGAGGCTAAAGGTAGTGCAAGATCTTTTTGGCTCTGCACATCCAACGATTGCAGGAGTTTGAATGAGCATCAATAACTTCAGTGTGGCTAGTTCCGGGAAGTTTAGTTCAGGAGATAAGGAACACTTCTGCTTAACTCTTCTCCTCCCGCAGTCTTGCCTCTGCTTGGCTGAGCATGTCAGCAAGGAGAGGGGATGCTGCCCAGCATCTCCACGGTGCTGCCTTGTCACTGACTGCACCATAGACCACAGAGAATTCCCGAGGGGCTGAAGAGGTGGCTGAGCGGGGAAAGTGATGCTGAGCGAGCCTGAGGAATGGAGTCCAGATCCTTAGATCTTGTATAATAAAGTCGGGCTGTTCAGCTAGACCAGCTGCAATCAATGTGCTCTGTGTTCATCAGAGACACCGCCTCACTAAGCAATGTGAAGAGAGATGGAGGAAGACTTGGGATGTCTTCTATCAACTTGACACAAGCTAAGGTCATGGGAGAGGAGGAAACCTCAATTGAGAGAATGCCTCCACAAGATCCAGCTAATTTTTCAGAATGGTTTTTGGGACAGTGGACTTTTAGCCCCTTTCCTGATTCTCCCATAGAGAGGATTGATCCGTGGGTTTGTTCAGCGGCTGCTCCATCCTCATGTCCATGAAGAGGGGACCTCAAGAGCTGTGCAGAAGACAGCCTTTCTGGCCTCTTACCTCCTCACATCTTGGGTGATAGAAAGTGCCATGAAGTGACAGGGGTGGACACGACCTTTGCAGCGGAGCTCTTTGCTTTCTCCAGGTATACATGTGGGTCTTCTAATATACATCAGTCTTCTAATATATGCAAATATTAAGTCATATCACCCTTTTCCCACAGACCTTGAAGGTGCATCCTCTTCTGTCCAATGACATACATTTAATGCCAATGTAATGCCTGTTATGGTTTTGCTGTGGGTCATGGCAGCTTGCTGCGGGGTCCTGGTGGTGGTAGGTCCACAAACCAAGGTGACCATGTGTCGGCGGGCTGGTCCCCAGCAAGCCCCGGCGAGCTATGTGAGCAGGCGGCCGGTGGGAGGCACACAGACAAGCACATCGTACAAAATAGAATTAAACATTTATTAGGTGGGTTATGGAGGTGGAAGGGAAAAAGGGGAGAAGGGGGTGAGAGAGAGAAAGAGGGAGAGAAAGGAGAGGGGGGAAAGAGAAGGGACCAGAGAGAGAGCCAAGATGGCAAGAGAGAGAGAGAGAGAGAGAGAGAGAGAGAGAGAGAAGGCTGCAGGGAATGGGCGTGGCTTGTCTCTTAAAGAGACAGAACAATCATAACAATGCCATTTCTCATATGGCATATTCCTTATTAGAACACACTTGAGTGTTCCTACCACAGAGTCTCTGAGCCTACCTTTTCCAATTTTTTGTTTGTTTGTTTGTTTATTTATTTTTTTGAGACAGGGCCTCAGTATGTAGCCCTGGCTGGCCTAGAACTCACTATGTAGATCAGTCTGGCCTTGAACTCACAGAGCCCTCAACATGGGTGCTGGGAACCAAACTCTCATTATCTGGAAAAGCAGGAAGTGCTCTTAATCCCTGATCCATCTCTCCAGCCCCTGTTTTTTAGTTTTGATGGGAAAAATCATTAGGAACTGCTTACTTACAATGGGTCACCAGGAGCCAGGGATGGTGGCACACACCACTAACCCCAGCTCTCAGGAGACAGAGGAAGGTGGATCTCTGTGAGTTCCAGACCAGACTAGTCTACATAGAGAGTTCCAGAACACTCAGGACTACATAGAGAGAGCCTGTGTCAACCAAACAAACCAAAGATGACCAGGGTTGGAGAGATGGTTCAACGGTTAAGAGCATCGGCTGCTCTTTCAGGGGACCCTGGTTTGATTCCCAGGACCCATGTGGCAGCTCTAGTTGCAAAAGCTCCAATGCCTTTTTCTTGCCTCCAGAGGCACATGGTGCAGACATTCATGCAGGCACAACACTCATACATAAAAAAGTAAATTAATTAAAATGTACACTAGGTGGCGCTGGAGAGGTGGCTAAGTAGTTAAGAGCACTTGCTGAGGACCTAGATTCACTTCCCAGTGTCTACAGACAGCTTACAACTGCCTGTAACTCCTGTTCCAAGGTATCTGATGTTCTAGTCTGCCTCTGAGGGTACCAGACACACACATACTCTTAAAGAAAAATCTGTTGGTGTGGGGCGGGAACAGAATTAGAGAAGGTAGACATGGTGGCATGGGACAACAATCCCAGCACTCCAGAGACTGGAGAATAGTAGGAGAATCATGAATACAAGGGCTCAAGAATTGCTTATTATATAGGAACTATTTGTATCTAGTGATATCATTATTATAAACATATTTGTCATTGTTAAAACTAGTGGTGTAATTAAGCTAAATAATACTTTATGAAATTTTGAAGCAACAAAATCTTAAGTGTTCAGTGTATAAACAGGAACCTTTTTCTCAGAAAAAAATTGTTTCTCAGATAAAGGATCATCATTTATCCAAAAGAAAGAAAAGATGTAAAGTGAATTTCCTTTGATTATTTTAGTTTCTTAATAGTTAATAGCTAAGGCAGTACTCTGTCGGGAGCTGTGTGGTCTGGGTTTGGATCAGCATACGAACAAACGCTTCTTCAATGGGCTTCTTCGAGGCAAGACCCTGGGACACCGCACAGTACTGCTGGGTCCCTGCCGACCACACACCCTTTTCTCTAATATTAGCGACTTTCTTGGCGGTTTATAGTCTCACTTTATCAGCCATGCATAGGACAGGTGTGATCAGTCCTGAAAACCCATTTCTTTTCTCCAACATTTTCTCCTAAAATTCTGTGGGAACTGATGCTTCTCAGGTTTCTTATAGAGAGGCTTAGGCATGCAGGACCATTTTGTAGGCCAAGGGAACAGTCAGAGAAAGACAAGCTACTGGTTGCAAGCTAATGGCAAAGCACCCAGATTTCTGTAAATATGCTTGGTTAAGCTTTGATGATACTGTAGTTCTTGACAATGTGTGCCTGTGTCCTTTGAGCTTTGTAAGGACAACATGTGTCTGGCTCAATATTTGGCCAAGCTAACAAAATGCTGAGCATTGTTTTCTGGCTTAAAAGTTGTTTCGTTGTAAAAGATGGAAAACTTATTTGGATGTTTTTCTGGAGGTGAATCATGGAGGGTGGGAAAACATGTTTGTTTTTGAACTATCAATAAAGATAGCATGAGTGTTACAGGCCGGCCACTTGTGTGAAACTTGGTAGTTGGACATTTGATTTCTTTGTGAACAATGCCTCTTCCCTGTCTCAGGACCTGAGCCCAGGCTGCGGCAGGACCACAGCAGTACTTACATCCTAAAAGAAGAAACACACATCTGATATCAGAACACATTTGATGTGAGAGATATCCACAGGTATTCATAAGGAATTGCTGGGATCACTACAGATGCCAAGTCTGCACTGGCTAACATGTCTCATACAGAATAGGACTTTCCGATGACACACACATAACTTAATCTACTTGTAGGTTACATAGAATGTGCTCTAGAGCATGAATGCTGTCTTAGTAATTGTGGAGTACTGTGCAGAGGTGAAGACATGAAAAGGTCCGCATGTATAAATCTACAGTCAGTGGGATCCACACGATAGAGCCAACACAGACTACGATAATTGTTTATGCTTTGAAAACCATGTATTTTTATTTGTGTGTGTGTGTGTGTGTGTGTGTGTGTGTGTGTGTGTACAGGTACTTGGGTCCTCCAGGAGATCAGAAGAGAGCTCTGGGTCTCTTGGAGCTGGAGTTACTGTCAGTTGTGAGCTGCTTGGTTCGGGCGATGGGAAACAAACTTAAGTCCTATAAGAGCAGTATGTGCTCTTTACTGCTGAGCCATCTTTCCAGCCCCTGTTGATGCTTGTTTAAACAGTAGGTAGTCATTTATTTTTTTAATCAGCCCTTTAGCAAATGATTACTGAACTCCAGAACTGCAACCGTGACTCAGCCTTTCTTTCAGAGCTATAGCTCTTGTCACCTGCAGACTGAGCCAAGGCAAGAGATCAGCTTTTTCCACACCTTACATTTTCTGCACAATCACTCTCCTCCCAGACTAATAAAAAAAAATGGGGGAAGAACCTCTACATGTATATAAAAGATAAGCACACACACATAGCGTGGAGGCTATTCCCAGGAGAAACCTGCCTTAGAGATGTTAAATAAAACTTAAATAAAAGTCACAGTTTTGCTGGGATCGTCCTCTCTTCAGCACCCAAGTGTTTGTGGAAGAAAGTCTGGAGTTGCTGCCATGCATCCACCTGGGCCATGGCATGAGGCTTAGGCTCCCCTCCAAAGATGATATTAGTACCCACCAGGACATGCATGCCAGCCTTGTACAGGGGGAAGTAAGGGGGCTCAATGTAGTGCCCTGCTTCTGGGTAGCAGATGATCTGGGGCTTCTCCTTCCCATGGGCCTGTAAGCGTTTGGAGATCTCATTGGCATAGAACTCGCTCTTCCAGTTGTGGTCATCCTGACCCACAAGGAACAGGAAGGTGGTGTCAGACCTTTCCACAGGGATGATGCTCTTCGTCTCTACCAAAGGGCTTTGAAGTCCTTCCACAACATCCAAAAGGCCATCTTTGGACACTTTGATTCGCTCTCTCAGAAAAGACACAGGAGGGATAGTCTCATCTTTGTAGTATATGGTGTTCCCAACAGCGGCCACAGAGCCATTGATGAAGACAGCTGCTTTGATGCCCTTCAGGAAGGAGGCCATAGCAAGGCCAAGTTCACCCCCTTTGGAAATCCCAAGCAGCCCGATTCCTGGACCTTTTACCTGAGAAAAACACAGACAGAAAAGAAGGAGACTGAGCCCACATAAAAGTCGGACAGTGGCCCTGAGCCCGACTGTGACTTTACCATCCTGACTTTGGTAGGGTCATTGGGCATCTGGGAAGCTCAGAGTCTACATGGTACTCCAGTGAGAAGTCAGAGGTCATGCCTTGTTTGCGATTATTAAATAGCTGTTTTGCTCTTTGCCTGGTATTTTTGTGTGTATAAAATCATATTCAGGTGTATATAAACAAAACAGAATCAACATAAGGTGCTTTGGAAGCTTCTGGATCCGTATTAATTTCTCTCTGTATTTATGTACTGGCTCCTAAGTAGTGATGGGTACTGACGAGTCTACGACATCACAATTGCTAGACCGATCTAGACAATTAACAGCAGATAATGTTTGAGTCTTCAGAATGAGGCTTGTCCCCTTTATTTCATTACAACGTTCCCTATCCGTTCTGCGACTTCACAGTCACGGACTTTCGCAGTTGCTTTACCGTTTCCCTAGCTCTCCATTCCTGTCCCCATGCAGTCCGTGTTCATGTGCAGACATGGCCTTGTCTCCTCTGCCTGTCCGCACTGTGTCTACACTACTTAGTTGGATATAAACTTATCAGCATATTCCCAGAGCTTCTCAAGTATGAGTTATTTAATGCTCATCACATTCTGGAGGCTGGACACAAAATCACAGGCATAAGACCATGACATGGCTAAGGTGATAAACACTCATGATTTGTCTTGACTACCTCAGTTTCAGTGGGAAACGGACATTGCTGGCGGTAACCCTCTCCCCTTGGCAATCTGAGATGACCGGTCACCCTATGAGAGATGGCACAAACTTCCTTGTACCAACTTTTTCATGTCCCCTGAGATCGTGCCAGTGAAATATACTATGCACTGTGCATTTGACAAGACTAAATATTGCTTGTTATAAAGGTTCAAGCCAAGCTACTGGGTTGCAAATCCATCTTTGACTCAAGGAGGCATTTAGGACCCCAAATTTAAATTGAAATACTCTAACAGCAAACCTGAGGGTGACTGAGCAGGTAGTTCACGGCTTCCTCAAAGTACTCCAGGTGAAATATCTCCATGCTCTTGGGGAGGTCATCGTACTTATAATAGGCCAGAGCCATGACAGCAAAGCCCTTCCCAGCCAGCAGACTTGCTCGATACTCCAGAAGGCCACCTCCAACTCCGAAAAGGTCTATGATCCCAGGAAAGGGTCCATTTCCTTAGAAACAAACACAAAAACAACCCTTCTTTGCAGATTTAGTGTTCAGATGTCTTGATATCTTTTTTATTTTATTTTATTTTATTTTGGTTTTTTCAAGACAGGGTTTCTCTGTAGCTTTGGGGCCTCGCTCAAACTAGCTCTTGTAGACCAGGCTGGCCTCAGACTCACAGAGATCCGCCTGCCTCTGCCCCTGTAGTACAGACATTAAAGGCATGCACCACCACCGCCTTGCCTGAGCTGTTTTCTTAGATGCCACAAACACACTCAATGATTTGAGCCACACAGTACCCTGGAGGTGAAACTGCCACAATCAAAGGGCATTCTGGCAGTTTTCCAAAGTGGAGCTCTACTCGGGGGCTTGTGGTGGTTCACAGATACAGATATGGGTTCGCCAATCAAGGTCAGAATCCAGTATGACAGGGATGGTGGGCAATCTCAGGGGACTGTCAGGCAATGGGGAGAATGAGGACAGCCTAACCGATGACAAGCTGTCAGAAGTATACAGAAGGGAGAGGAGGCATTTTTACAATGGTTGTGAAGCTCACTCAGAAGGAAGCATCCCATGGTCCTCAGGAAAATCTGAACTTTAAAACCAGAGTTGTGATTGGGATGGAAACACAATTGGCCATGAGGCCAGTGATAATAACCTCCCACGAAAGAGACCTTTTATTATGGAAAACTTTGAGTTCTTGGATTTTTGCTTATTACTACTTAAATATGTAAAGATTTTTACCTAAGGAAGCACTTTCTCTGTTTTCAACATCACTTCCAAGCCACTGGAACTTGCAAACCTAAGTTTTAACTGTTGTATAGGAAGTGCCACGTCCTTATCCTCAGACCTGCCATCTCTGTCCACATTTCAAAGGGATGAGAAACAATTGACCAAATCCCCTAGGGCAGCTCTCTGTGAGTTGCTGAACTGAAGTCCCTCTCAAATCTGTTTTTCTTTCCCTCTAGGAAAGAGTTACCTCAGCATCACCCAAGAAACAGAGCTCCATGGCCCTGCACGTTCACGCTTTCAGATTCCAGACTCGGAATAGAACTCGAGTTCTGCAAGTTAGAAAGTTGGCCAGTGCTTGCGAAGGCCAAGCTTGTCTGAAAGCCTGTTCCAGGGCAGTCAGTGCCAAACGTGAACCGGTGCTCAACCACCCGCGGGTCTTATTATCACAGAGAGGATTTCCAGTTCATGGGTCTCTGCTTGCCTAAAATAACTTGAGATGCTGCTCCTGAAGTGACCTTCAGTTCAGAACTCACCCCAGCCTGAGTGCCAAGTCAGAAAGGCTTTTCCAGGGGCCACTGATCTCTAAAGGGCCCCGTGGAGAGTGCGGAAAGAAGAAGGCACCCAGACAAAGCACCTCTGAAGCATCCCGGGCTCCCCGAGGGAGGGCTGCTCACCTGGAGGCAGGAAGAGGGTGGCGCGCACACGGCCCTCGCGCACGGGCACACGCCGCACCCCGGGAGCCATGAAGTGACGCTCGTGCACCGCCCGCGCCAGCAGCCGCCCGCCGTCGGGCTCGTGGCCGTCCAGCACCTCCAGCTCCACCATGAAGGGCGTCTGCACGTCGCGCTTGATCAGGCGCCAGAAAGGCCGATCGGGCTCCATGGCCCAGAGCAGCCCCATGGGCTCGAGCCCCGCGAAGCTGCCGCCCAGCGCGGGCGCGCGCGCCAGGTCCAGCTCGCCGTGGGGGTCGGCGCGGTAGCGCGCGTGGGCGCGGAACAGCTTGCCTGTCTCGTCTAGCAAGGCGGTGCGCAGCGTGACGGGCTGCTCCGGGGCCAGGCCGCGCACGGAGATGCTCAGCGGCTCGTCCCAGCAGCTGCGGCCCGCGGGCTCCAGGCTTATAGTTGGCATCTTCTTCACACCGTTCAAAATGATAATGCTGTGTGATGAATACAGTCTCTCAGCCTCTGGAGTCAGTGATAATGAGGGAACCCTTCGTCCTGCTTGTGAGCTCTGGCAATCGGGGTGCGAAACTCTGTACTTTTTATGGGATACTGTGGCCTGTATGCAGAAAAACTAACCAATAGTAATGGTTATTTTTTTCCAAGATGATGTTGAAATACAGGTACAGATAGTGATTTGAAAAGGTCACTGTTCCCATAACAACAGTTTTGCAAAAGTACCCCCAGGATACTTTAAAATGATTATTCTCAGAAACTGAGCCTTGAACCTTCCTTACCTGGGTAGACTGGTAGACTTTCCTCATGCTGGAGCCGAGCCTATGGGGTCAGACTGCCCAGCCTGAAGTCAATGAATGGCCTGGCATGGTAAGTAACTGAAGGCAGTGACCTTATCTGAAAAAGAATTGTAAGGACAGCTCTATGGGCTTGAGATAACACCCAGCCAGCGCGCCCCCAGCCTAGAAAGACAGAGATTGTCCAACTCAACTGACACATAGGTTTTGGGTTTTATCAGTCTTGGCAGGAAATAGGTGTTTAAGGGACTGGGCCACTTAAGAAGTTTGTAGATACTGTAGTAACATTTAAAAGGGTGTGGGGAGGGGTGGCTAAAAAGGCTTGGTGCTTCACCGAGATCCTCAAGGGGTAGAGGAATAGGGCTCCACTCGCAGCTGCAACTAGTGTCCATGCACTTCAAAAAGGAAGGCTTTGTAGCTGTTTGTTTTCCCGAACCCTAAGATTAATCCGTCCCCAGAATGCAGACTCAGGTTGTCTGCAAAACTTGCGCCAACATGGTAGCAGTTCCATTAAGTTTTTATGCTAACAAAAGAATGTCATGGACCAAGGCCTCTTTAAGATAATCTGATGCAGGCATCAGTGGGCAGGTTACCTGACATCAGGGAATTAGCTACTGTTGGCCTCAGGTGCTGCCCAATGGTGTTCTCGACATATGTGGTGGGTGGAAGCTGGGGGGGGGGGGGTGTCTGTATGTTGCCAAAGGATTCATCTAACAGTCACATGCTAGATATTAGGTTAAACAGAGAGGTGTTTAAAGGAGGCTAAAGGTAGTGCAAGATCTTTTTGGCACTGCGCATCCAACGATTGCAGGAGTTTGAATGAGCATCAATAACTTCAGTGTGGCTAGTTCCGGGAAGTTTAGTTCAGGAGATAAGGAACACTTCTGCTTAACTCTTCTCCTCCCGCAGTCTTGCCTCTGCTTGGCTGAGCATGTCAGCAAGGAGAGGGGATGCTGCCCAGCATCTCCACGGTGCTGCCTTGTCACTGACTGCACCATAGACCACAGAGAATTCCCGAGGGGCTGAAGAGGTGGCTGAGCGGGGAAAGCGATGCTGAGCGAGCCTGAGGAATGGAGTCCAGATCCTTAGATCTTGTATAGTAAAGTCGGGCTGTTCAGCTAGACCAGCTGCAATCAAGGCGCTCTGTGTTCATCAGAGACACCGCCTCACTAAGCAATGTGAAGAGAGATGGAGGAAGACATGGGATGTCTTCTATCAACTTGACACAAGCTAAGGTCATGGGAGAGGAGGAAACCTCAATTGAGAGAATGCCTCCACAAGATCCAGCTAATTTTTCAGAATGGTTTTTGGGACAGTGGACTTTTAGCCCCTTTCCTGATTCTCCCATAGAGAGGATTGATCCGTGGGTTTGTTCAGCGGCTGCTCCATCCTCATGTCCATGAAGAGGGGACCTCAAGAGCTGTGCAGAAGACAGCCTTTCTGGCCTCTTACCTCCTCACATCTTGGGTGATAGAAAGTGCCATGAAGTGACAGGGGTGGACACGACCTTTGCAGCGGAGCTCTTTGCTTTCTCCAGGTATACATGTGGGTCTTCTAATATACATCAGTCTTCTAATATATGCAAATATAAGTCATATCACCCTTTTCCCACAGACCTTGAAGGTGCATCCTCTTCTGTCCAATGACATACATTTAATGCCAATGTAATGCCTGTTATGGTTTTGCTGTGGGTCATGGCAGCTTGCTGCGGGGTCCTGGTGGTGGTAGGTCCACAAACCAAGGTGACCATGTGTCGGCGGGCTGGTCCCCAGCAAGCCCCGGCGAGCTATGTGAGCAGGCGGCCGGTGGGAGGCACACAGACAAGCACATCGTACAAAATAGAATTAAACATTTATTAGGTGGGTTATGGAGGTGGAAGGGAAAAAGGGGAGAAGGGGGTGAGAGAGAGAAAGAGGGAGAGAAAGGAGAGGGGGGAAAGAGAAGGGACCAGAGAGAGAGCCAAGATGGCAAGAGAGAGAGAGAGAGAGAGAGAGAGAGAGAGAGAGAGAGAGAGAGAGAAGGCTGCAGGGAATGGGCGTGGCTTGTCTCTTAAAGAGACAGAACAATCATAACAATGCCATTTCTCATATGGCATATTCCTTATTAGAACACACTTGAGTGTTCCTACCACAGAGTCTCTGAGCCTACCTTTTCCAATTTTTTGTTTGTTTGTTTGTTTGTTTATTTTTTTGAGACAGGGCCTCAGTATGTAGCCCTGGCTGGCCTAGAACTCACTATGTAGATCAGTCTGGCCTTGAACTCACAGAGCCCTCAACATGGGTGCTGGGAACCAAACTCTCATTATCTGGAAAAGCAGGAAGTGCTCTTAATCCCTGATCCATCTCTCCAGCCCCTGTTTTTTAGTTTTGATGGGAAAAATCATTAGGAACTGCTTACTTACAATGGGTCACCAGGAGCCAGGGATGGTGGCACACACCACTAACCCCAGCTCTCAGGAGACAGAGGAAGGTGGATCTCTGTGAGTTCCAGACCAGACTAGTCTACATAGAGAGTTCCAGAACACTCAGGACTACATAGAGAGAGCCTGTGTCAACCAAACAAACCAAAGATGACCAGGGTTGGAGAGATGGTTCAACGGTTAAGAGCATCGGCTGCTCTTTCAGGGGACCCTGGTTTGATTCCCAGGACCCATGTGGCAGCTCTAGTTGCAAAAGCTCCAATGCCTTTTTCTTGCCTCCAGAGGCACATGGTGCAGACATTCATGCAGGCACAACACTCATACATAAAAAAGTAAATTAATTAAAATGTACACTAGGTGGCGCTGGAGAGGTGGCTAAGTAGTTAAGAGCACTTGCTGAGGACCTAGATTCACTTCCCAGTGTCTACAGACAGCTTACAACTGCCTGTAACTCCTGTTCCAAGGTATCTGATGTTCTAGTCTGCCTCTGAGGGTACCAGACACACACATACTCTTAAAGAAAAATCTGTTGGTGTGGGGCGGGAACAGAATTAGAGAAGGTAGACATGGTGGCATGGGACAACAATCCCAGCACTCCAGAGACTGGAGAATAGTAGGAGAATCATGAATACAAGGGCTCAAGAATTGCTTATTATATAGGAACTATTTGTATCTAGTGATATCATTATTATAAACATATTTGTCATTGTTAAAACTAGTGGTGTAATTAAGCTAAATAATACTTTATGAAATTTTGAAGCAACAAAATCTTAAGTGTTCAGTGTATAAACAGGAACCTTTTTCTCAGAAAAAAATTGTTTCTCAGATAAAGGATCATCATTTATCCAAAAGAAAGAAAAGATGTAAAGTGAATTTCCTTTGATTATTTTAGTTTCTTAATAGTTAATAGCTAAGGCAGTACTCTGTCGGGAGCTGTGTGGTCTGGGTTTGGATCAGCATACGAACAAACGCTTCTTCAATGGGCTTCTTCGAGGCAAGACCCTGGGACACCGCACAGTACTGCTGGGTCCCTGCCGACCACACACCCTTTTCTCTAATATTAGCGACTTTCTTGGCGGTTTATAGTCTCACTTTATCAGCCATGCATAGGACAGGTGTGATCAGTCCTGAAAACCCATTTCTTTTCTCCAACATTTTCTCCTAAAATTCTGTGGGAACTGATGCTTCTCAGGTTTCTTATAGAGAGGCTTAGGCATGCAGGACCATTTTGTAGGCCAAGGGAACAGTCAGAGAAAGACAAGCTACTGGTTGCAAGCTAATGGCAAAGCACCCAGATTTCTGTAAATATGCTTGGTTAAGCTTTGATGATACTGTAGTTCTTGACAATGTGTGCCTGTGTCCTTTGAGCTTTGTAAGGACAACATGTGTCTGGCTCAATATTTGGCCAAGCTAACAAAATGCTGAGCATTGTTTTCTGGCTTAAAAGTTGTTTCGTTGTAAAAGATGGAAAACTTATTTGGATGTTTTTCTGGAGGTGAATCATGGAGGGTGGGAAAACATGTTTGTTTTTGAACTATCAATAAAGATAGCATGAGTGTTACAGGCCGGCCACTTGTGTGAAACTTGGTAGTTGGACATTTGATTTCTTTGTGAACAATGCCTCTTCCCTGTCTCAGGACCTGAGCCCAGGCTGCGGCAGGACCACAGCAGTACTTACATCCTAAAAGAAGAAACACACATCTGATATCAGAACACATTTGATGTGAGAGATATCCACAGGTATTCATAAGGAATTGCTGGGATCACTACAGATGCCAAGTCTGCACTGGCTAACATGTCTCATACAGAATAGGACTTTCCGATGACACACACATAACTTAATCTACTTGTAGGTTACATAGAATGTGCTCTAGAGCATGAATGCTGTCTTAGTAATTGTGGAGTACTGTGCAGAGGTGAAGACATGAAAAGGTCCGCATGTATAAATCTACAGTCAGTGGGATCCACACGATAGAGCCAACACAGACTACGATAATTGTTTATGCTTTGAAAACCATGTATTTTTATTTGTGTGTGTGTGTGTGTGTGTGTGTGTGTGTGTGTGTGTACAGGTACTTGGGTCCTCCAGGAGATCAGAAGAGAGCTCTGGGTCTCTTGGAGCTGGAGTTACTGTCAGTTGTGAGCTGCTTGGTTCGGGCGATGGGAAACAAACTTAAGTCCTATAAGAGCAGTATGTGCTCTTTACTGCTGAGCCATCTTTCCAGCCCCTGTTGATGCTTGTTTAAACAGTAGGTAGTCATTTATTTTTTTAATCAGCCCTTTAGCAAATGATTACTGAACTCCAGAACTGCAACCGTGACTCAGCCTTTCTTTCAGAGCTATAGCTCTTGTCACCTGCAGACTGAGCCAAGGCAAGAGATCAGCTTTTTCCACACCTTACATTTTCTGCACAATCACTCTCCTCCCAGACTAATAAAAAAAAATGGGGGAAGAACCTCTACATGTATATAAAAGATAAGCACACACACATAGCGTGGAGGCTATTCCCAGGAGAAACCTGCCTTAGAGATGTTAAATAAAACTTAAATAAAAGTCACAGTTTTGCTGGGATCGTCCTCTCTTCAGCACCCAAGTGTTTGTGGAAGAAAGTCTGGAGTTGCTGCCATGCATCCACCTGGGCCATGGCATGAGGCTTAGGCTCCCCTCCAAAGATGATATTAGTACCCACCAGGACATGCATGCCAGCCTTGTACAGGGGGAAGTAAGGGGGCTCAATGTAGTGCCCTGCTTCTGGGTAGCAGATGATCTGGGGCTTCTCCTTCCCATGGGCCTGTAAGCGTTTGGAGATCTCATTGGCATAGAACTCGCTCTTCCAGTTGTGGTCATCCTGACCCACAAGGAACAGGAAGGTGGTGTCAGACCTTTCCACAGGGATGATGCTCTTCGTCTCTACCAAAGGGCTTTGAAGTCCTTCCACAACATCCAAAAGGCCATCTTTGGACACTTTGATTCGCTCTCTCAGAAAAGACACAGGAGGGATAGTCTCATCTTTGTAGTATATGGTGTTCCCAACAGCGGCCACAGAGCCATTGATGAAGACAGCTGCTTTGATGCCCTTCAGGAAGGAGGCCATAGCAAGGCCAAGTTCACCCCCTTTGGAAATCCCAAGCAGCCCGATTCCTGGACCTTTTACCTGAGAAAAACACAGACAGAAAAGAAGGAGACTGAGCCCACATAAAAGTCGGACAGTGGCCCTGAGCCCGACTGTGACTTTACCATCCTGACTTTGGTAGGGTCATTGGGCATCTGGGAAGCTCAGAGTCTACATGGTACTCCAGTGAGAAGTCAGAGGTCATGCCTTGTTTGCGATTATTAAATAGCTGTTTTGCTCTTTGCCTGGTATTTTTGTGTGTATAAAATCATATTCAGGTGTATATAAACAAAACAGAATCAACATAAGGTGCTTTGGAAGCTTCTGGATCCGTATTAATTTCTCTCTGTATTTATGTACTGGCTCCTAAGTAGTGATGGGTACTGACGAGTCTACGACATCACAATTGCTAGACCGATCTAGACAATTAACAGCAGATAATGTTTGAGTCTTCAGAATGAGGCTTGTCCCCTTTATTTCATTACAACGTTCCCTATCCGTTCTGCGACTTCACAGTCACGGACTTTCGCAGTTGCTTTACCGTTTCCCTAGCTCTCCATTCCTGTCCCCATGCAGTCCGTGTTCATGTGCAGACATGGCCTTGTCTCCTCTGCCTGTCCGCACTGTGTCTACACTACTTAGTTGGATATAAACTTATCAGCATATTCCCAGAGCTTCTCAAGTATGAGTTATTTAATGCTCATCACATTCTGGAGGCTGGACACAAAATCACAGGCATAAGACCATGACATGGCTAAGGTGATAAACACTCATGATTTGTCTTGACTACCTCAGTTTCAGTGGGAAACGGACATTGCTGGCGGTAACCCTCTCCCCTTGGCAATCTGAGATGACCGGTCACCCTATGAGAGATGGCACAAACTTCCTTGTACCAACTTTTTCATGTCCCCTGAGATCGTGCCAGTGAAATATACTATGCACTGTGGATTTGGACAAGACTAAATATTGCTTGTTATAAAGGTTCAAGCCAAGCTACTGGGTTGCAAATCCATCTTTGACTCAAGGAGGCATTTAGGACCCCAAATTTAAATTGAAATACTCTAACAGCAAACCTGAGGGTGACTGAGCAGGTAGTTCACGGCTTCCTCAAAGTACTCCAGGTGAAATATCTTCATGTTCGTGGGGAGGTCATCGTACTTATAATAGGCCAGAGCCATGACAGCAAAGCCCTTCCCAGCCAGCAGACTTGCTCGATACTCCAGAAGGCCACCTCCAACTCCGAAAAGGTCTATGATCCCAGGAAAGGGTCCATTTCCTTAGAAAGAAAAACAAAAACAACCCTTCTTTGCAGATTTAGTGTTCAGATGTCTTGATATCTTTTTTATTTTATTTTATTTTATTTTGGTTTTTTCAAGACAGGGTTTCTCTGTAGCTTTGGGGCCTCGCTCAAACTAGCTCTTGTAGACCAGGCTGGCCTCAGACTCACAGAGATCCGCCTGCCTCTGCCCCTGTAGTACAGACATTAAAGGCATGCACCACCACCGCCTTGCCTGAGCTGTTTTCTTAGATGCCACAAACACACTCAATGATTTGAGCCACACAGTACCCTGGAGGTGAAACTGCCACAATCAAAGGGCATTCTGGCAGTTTTCCAAAGTGGAGCTCTACTCGGGGGCTTGTGGTGGTTCACAGATACAGATATGGGTTCGCCAATCAAGGTCAGAATCCAGTATGACAGGGATGGTGGGCAATCTCAGGGGACTGTCAGGCAATGGGGAGAATGAGGACAGCCTAACCGATGACAAGCTGTCAGAAGTATACAGAAGGGAGAGGAGGCATTTTTACAATGGTTGTGAAGCTCACTCAGAAGGAAGCATCCCATGGTCCTCAGGAAAATCTGAACTTTAAAACCAGAGTTGTGATTGGGATGGAAACACAATTGGCCATGAGGCCAGTGATAATAACCTCCCACGAAAGAGACCTTTTATTATGGAAAACTTTGAGTTCTTGGATTTTTGCTTATTACTACTTAAATATGTAAAGATTTTTACCTAAGGAAGCACTTTCTCTGTTTTCAACATCACTTCCAAGCCACTGGAACTTGCAAACCTAAGTTTTAACTGTTGTATAGGAAGTGCCACGTCCTTATCCTCAGACCTGCCATCTCTGTCCACATTTCAAAGGGATGAGAAACAATTGACCAAATCCCCTAGGGCAGCTCTCTGTGAGTTGCTGAACTGAAGTCCCTCTCAAATCTGTTTTTCTTTCCCTCTAGGAAAGAGTTACCTCAGCATCACCCAAGAAACAGAGCTCCATGGCCCTGCACGTTCACGCTTTCAGATTCCAGACTCGGAATAGAACTCGAGTTCTGCAAGTTAGAAAGTTGGCCAGTGCTTGCGAAGGCCAAGCTTGTCTGAAAGCCTGTTCCAGGGCAGTCAGTGCCAAACGTGAACCGGTGCTCAACCACCCGCGGGTCTTATTATCACAGAGAGGATTTCCAGTTCATGGGTCTCTGCTTGCCTAAAATAACTTGAGATGCTGCTCCTGAAGTGACCTTCAGTTCAGAACTCACCCCAGCCTGAGTGCCAAGTCAGAAAGGCTTTTCCAGGGGCCACTGATCTCTAAAGGGCCCCGTGGAGAGTGCGGAAAGAAGAAGGCACCCAGACAAAGCACCTCTGAAGCATCCCGGGCTCCCCGAGGGAGGGCTGCTCACCTGGAGGCAGGAAGAGCGTGGCGCGCACACGGCCCTCGCGCACGGGCACGCGCCGCACCCCGGGAGCCATGAAGTGACGCTTGTGCACCGCCCGCGCCAGCAGCCGCCCGCCGTCGGGCTCGTGGCCGTCCAGCACCTCCAGCTCCACCACGAAGGGCGTCTGCACGTCGCGCTTGATCAGGCGCCAGAAAGGCCTATCGGGCTCCATGGCCCAGAGCAGCCCCATGGGCTCGAGCCCCGCGAAGCTGCCGCCCAGCGCGGGCGCGCGTGCCAGGTCCAGCTCGCCGTGGGAGTCGGCGTGGTAACGCGCGTGGGACCGGAAGAGCGCGCCTCTCTCGTCTCGCAGGGCGGCGCGCAGCGTGACGGGCTGCTCGGGGGCCAGGCCGCGCACGGCGACGTGCACTGGCTGGTCGCAGAGGCAACCAGCCGCAGGCTCCAGGATAATTATAGGAGCCATCAGGTTCTGGGCGGCAAAATCGTGTGTTGCTTCAGATTCTGTCTTTGTCTTGGTGCTTCTGGCCTTCCAGGACCTGCTGTGACAGCTTCAAACTCTTCAGAGTTCTTTGATGGCAGCCTCTGTGCCATGCCCCCTAGCGGTGTTAGATACTACAGTGCGGGAGATGAGTAATGATTAATCTTGTTTTACACCCTGGTGAGAGCTGAAATAATGTATAAAAGAAAGACTGAAAAAGATATCGTTCCAAAAATCTGGATTGTTTCAAAGCATCCCAGGAAACTGTAATTCTAGTAATCCAGGAGAAACAGGACCACAAGCCCTTCCTTGTTTTTTTTTTTGTTTTGTTTTGTTTTGTTGATTTTCGAGATAGGGTTTCTCCATAGCTTTTTGGTTCCCGTTCTGGAACTAGCTCTTGTAGAGGAGGCTGGCCTCGAACTCACAGAGATCCGCCTGCCTCTGCCTCCCGAGGGCTGGGATTAAAGGTGTGTGCCACCACCGCCCAGCTGTTTTTTTTTGTTGTTTGTTTGTTTGTTTGTTTTTTTGGAGCCCTTCCTCTTCTTTATGCCCTCACCAAGCCTTTTCCAGACTCAGCCTTTCTCTACTTGTTGGGGAACCTGGAGCCTCTTCTGTGGAAATCAGACCTTCTGGGGTAGACTGATTCTGCCCCTTAATCACCTTCCAGGTAGTGGGGGGCGGTGGCGGTGATGATGATGGTGGTGGGTTTTTTTTTTAATTTAATTTTTCATACCAAGTCTAGTTCCCCATCTCTTGACTCTCCCCACCTCCTACTTCCCCCCTTTTCACCCCCTCCCCCATCCACTCCTCAGAGTGGGTAGAGCCTTCCTTGGGGAATCAACAAAGATGAGGTGAGACCAAACCCCTCCCCACTGCATCAAGTCTGAGCAAAGTATCCCACCAGGTAGGGAATGGGCTCCAAAGAGCCAGTTCATGCACCCGGGAGAGGTCCTGGTGCCACTGCCAGGGCCTCGCCCCCAAAAGATCAAGTCCCGGGTGGTGGTTGTTTCCAGAGTGTTCCACCTGGCTCAAGCTGACCTTGATCTTGCTATGTTATTGAGGATGGTCTAGAACTCCTGATCCTCCTGCGTCCACCTTCCAAATGCTGGGAACACAGGTCTGGGCCACCGCTCTGCCCTCTTCCAGTTCCCTATCAAGATATGAAATTAATTGTCCTTAACGGAAAAGTTTTCTCAGGTGATTCAACGGGCTAACAGGTTAAATCTGTCCTAACACAGATTTAACAGGGAACTGGTGTCTTCCAACTCAGCTGAATGTCAGTTTGAGTCTGGATCAGAGTTCAGCAAGAAGGTAGTTGAAGCAAAGAGGGATATTTAAAAGGCTTTTGTAAATGAGCTTATTACAAGAGCATGAGCAACCGCTATGCAGAAACAGAGACCAAAGTTAAAAGGTTAGAGTCTAAGTTGTGAAGTTGGGAATAGAGAAATAAAAGGGCTTGTAGCTGGCCATGAGACAGCTGAGCTGGGCCAGCGTTGGCAGGCATGCTGGCTTCCCCTGAGACTCCTTCCCTGGGGCCACACAGGCAAGGCATTGTTGCCTGCTGGTATGTGATGCTTCTAATGAAGCTAGCTGTAACTGACTAAATTCTAAGGGTGAATTCTAAAAAAAAAAAAAAAAAAAAAAAAAAAAATGACCTATTGCAGTCTGTCCCAACTCTGAGCTATATAGGAGGTGACCAAGGAGAACACGGCTGTGTTGGTAGCCATGGTAACTGTTGACTCTCGGCAGACAGTAAAGGAAAAGGCTCACGGTAAGTCTATGAGCTGACCACATAACCTAGAAACAAAGAGAGCATAGAGAGCATAGGTTAAGTGGCTAGCCGACCCCACCAAGGTCTAAGACCTGCAAGACCTTGCAAGGAGCAATACTGACCAGCAGACAGAGAAGGTCAAGAGCTAACACTGTAGAAGCCAGAGATGGACAGAGAAGGGCTTCAACCACCCCTGACCAGGCAAGAAGTGCACGAACAGCTTATGATTATTGTACAACTAGGCCCCGGGTCTGAGAGTTTGCTCTAAAAGGTAGCTGCTAACCGGGCGGTGGTGGTGCACGCCTGTAATCCCAGCACTTGGGAGGCAGAGGCAGGCAGATCTCTGTGAGTTCGGGGCCAGCCTGGTCTACAAAGGGAGTTTCAGGACAGGCTCCACACCCTGTCTCGAAAAAACAAACAAACAAACAAAAAAAGGTAGCTGCTGCCAGATGGAGGAACTTGGCTTGCAAAGAGCTTTCCTGGTTAGTATATCTCCAACACGGAGGCAGAAGTATATAGCTGGGCAGAACGCAGAAAGCCACCTTCTCCCGTCCTTGCCTGTGACTTTCCATGCCATGAAGACACATATGGCTGCTTGTACCTGAGAGAGAAGCAGCTGAGGAGGTGACCCAGGTCTTGCCCTTCATACATCTTCGCAGGGGAGTGCTGGTTCTAGGAGCGGCAGGAAAGGTAAGTGTGTTGTGCAGGTATCACCCACGCCTTTCCACAGACAGACGTGAGAGGAATTGGCCTCACACAAATTCTTGTCCACCGATTCCAGGTACCCAGTGACATGGCCGGACTACCCAGGTGACAGACAAGCTGTCTCCCGAATTAACCCCGAGCGAGAATTTCTGGGTCCCTAACTAGGGCCAGGGCTTCATGAATAGACAGAATAGGTTTTCTGATGTAGAACAGCATTTCTCTGGCTACTTTTCGTCAGGACACTCCCAGAGGGCTTTTCTCTGTCTCTGCAAGTCACCATGACTAAGCAACACGGGGTTCTGAACTCTCAGTGTGGGAAAGGCTGAGCTGCCGAATCTGGCATCTGGGTCCGAACTCAAGCCGCCAAGAGAGAGAAACTTCATTGTCTGAACTGGGATTGAGACATTTATTTCCCGCTTTCCCGCTAGGTACACATGAGGAAAAGCATTGGAGAAGTGAAATTTCTTGAAGCACGAGGGAGAGGTCAGCTCCTAGCTGCCAAGTGGGCCAAAGGGCCCACTTTTTTTTTTTTGCCACGTGTCAAAAGAGGCGTGGTTAGAAACGTCAATCAAAGGCAGCCGACCGAAAGAGACCAGGTGGTGGCGTTGTTCAGAATAGTTCCTACAGAAGATTGAACTAAATGTAAAATTTAGTCATCTGTGTGAAAATTCCAATCATGGAATTGAAACTTAGGTGGCGTTCTGCTTTACCACAGACCCAGAGCCAAACTACCTAGGGATGAGACCTCTGAAGCCAGGAACTAAAATCACCTTTCTCCCTTTCTCCCTTTCTCCCTATACTAATAAACTGAGTAGCTCAGGTGGGTTTGTCACAGGCGTGCGAAGCTGACTATACTTAAAGCTAAGTGTGAGGACTTCGAAACCTCCACCTTTTAAAAAACAAACTATTTCAGTAGATAGAGGAGGAACTAGACCACCACAAGCTGTCTACCTTCAAGCCGCCTCTACAAAACATAGAGAGACAGAATAAAAGTCGGCCAGCTCTAAGAGTAAACTACCACAGAGGATCTGAACTTTTAATTTCGAAAACGTTTTACAGCTACACAGTTTCTCAAAAAGACAGCAGGGATGTTTATACAGAACACCACTGCAGGACGTGGGGCAGACCAGAGCTGCCCCTGGCAGGGCAGCAGAGTGAGAGGAGGGGCAAATCTCCCTCAAGGGCATGCTCCCTGTGGAGTCTCTTCTTCCTTCCCTCAGGCTCCTGCCGCCTGAAGGTTGCAGCACCTCCCAATGGTGCCAGAGACTCCTAAGTCTTTAGCACGTGGCCTTTGGAGGACATTTGAGAGAGGAACACAATAGGAAGGTTAATTGATTGAAATGGAAGGCAGTTTTCAAAATGACCACTGCCACTGTGTGCAAAGTCTTGTCATCCTGGTGACAGCCTGGTGTCCACCTCTCTTGACTCCTCAAAATGCTTATCTGTAAGTCACCTACTTGAGCATTTGCAAAGACCTTTCCCCTCATTGCAGCTGATAACTCAAGTTGAGAAATTAAATGTTTCTTAGACCCTTGATCCCTTGACCCTTGATCCCTTTTGTAATTTTACGGGATGACCAATAAGCATTGCCACAGAGCCGGCACGGAGCTGTTGTTTAAACAGGACACAGGTGTGGTAGTGTGTGCCTTTAGGCCCTGCACTGAGTCTGCAGAGGCCAGCCTGGTCTACACAGTAAGTTTCAGGACAGCTAGGGCCAATAAAGAGACTTGTCTCAGAGAGACAGAGACAGACAGAGGTCAGGTAGTGAAGAGCATAATGCAGGAAAATGCTTCAGAACAAAATCAGACTTCATGACTATCAAAACCATTGCAATTCTTTTCTCTTTATAAAAATGTATCAATGAGCCGGGCGGTGGTGGCACACGCCTTTAATCCCAGCACTCGGGAGGCAGAGGCAGGCGGATCTCTGTGAGTTCGAGACCAGCCTGGTCTACAAGAGCTAGTTCCAGGACAGGCTCCAAAACCACAGAGAAACCCTGTCTCGAAAAACCAAAAAAAAAAAAAAAAAGTATCAAATTTATTTCAACATTTAGTTTCATTTTTAATAAAACTATTTGACAATTACTGTAACTTAAAAATCATTGTCTGAGGTACAGAAAACATTAATAAACAGTTTAATAGTGCAGTAATTAAAGTTACTGGACCATGCATTTAGGAAAGTTTAATAGTCTCTGGAGTCTGCTTTACCACTGAACCACTGCAATTTTTTTTACTAGAAGAAAATTTTATTGAGAGATCACCTGGCCCCAGTGGTGTTGTGTGGGCACACCTTTAATCCCGGCACTCAGGGTCTATATACTAAGTCCCAGGCTGGCCAGGGCTGCGTTGTCTCAAGATTAGGAATGAGAGGAGGAAGAAAGGAGGAGGAGAGGAAGAGGAGAGGGGAAGGAGGCCAGGAGTCCCAGGAGAGGACCACCTGGCTCCAGTCTAGCTCTTCCTGCTTCCTGATCTACCGTGAAGTGAGAAATCTTTAATGCTGTTGTTGTTGTTTGTTTTCAAGATAGGGTTTCTCTGTATTGCCCTGGCTGTCCTGGAATTCATTTTGTAGACCAGGCTGTCTTCAGACCCACAGAGATCCGCCTGCCTCTGCCTGTTGAGCGCTGGG